CCCGACCCTGCACGGCCACCACAAAACCAGCTCCATTACCCTTAGGGCTACCTGCAAGTGGGAAGCTGGAGAGACAACATTTGGACACGAAAGTTCAGTTTCTCTGCACTGAAACTGGTGGGAGAAGTAGAGGGCTGCTCCTGGCATGCTCCTCGAAGCCAGCCTGGAGGGAATGTGGGCAAGCAGGGGAGTTTCTGAGGTGCTGGCACCGGCACCGTACACCCAAGACAAGTCACCGCAGCAGTTCCTCCCGCAAGCCATGACATCTGTGGTGTACACAGGCAGCGCCGCAGGTAAACCGGAGATGTGCAGACATGGCCACCTACGGTGTGACGGTCCCTGACACCGGGATGTAAATATTGTGCTGTTAACCATCAGAACTTCTGCATTTTCACTTCACTGAATGATTAAACACACTGCAATCACCCCACCCCGAGACCCCCTTCATCCCCAGATGGTGGGCACACAGAACAGCAGGGGCACACCAGAGTAGTCGGGTCGGCAGAACTGATCCCAGCCATTCTGATCCCCAGAATGAATCCATGCTGGGAAAAGCAATTCAAAGGCGGCACTGAAACGGACTCTGAGCGGCAGAAACTTAAAGGAAACAAAATGCAGTTCTGAATCTGTGAATACCTTCTGGACCATAAAAGTAGTTTACACTTCCGAAGAGGACATGGCGAGAGTTTAATTCCCAGCAATATATGGAGATGTTGGTACATACACTTGTAGGTAGCACAAAACTGCATTGCGTCTAAGCCTCAACACACTTCATAGTAGATTCAGAGAAGAGGGAGAGGAAGAATCGGCCATCCCCACCAACATCCTCACAGAGAATTTTAAGCTGTCCTCCAGAATCACAGAATAAGCGTGCTGCCAGAGAGGAGAGTTTGCTCACAGACAGGTCTGCATCTGTACGAATATTCACAGCGCATCAGCTACCATGCCAGAAACAGCTCCGTTCGCGACATCCTGACTTCAGACTCAATTCCCGAACGCGAGACCAGGTGATCAGATGACTCCGTCTCCCTTACTGCTAATGGGAGCTCCTCTCTACCGACAGCAGCCTGCCTGGAATCAAAGGCAAGGCTCAGATCTTTTCTAATGCCCATTAGGCTGCAATACAACCACACCTCCAAAAATGACCTTTTTAAGCAACACAGATTTTTTTTCCTTTCGTTTGCCATCCTCCAGTAGCTGGGTACCATTACAATTTGCTCTAACTAAAGGCTCTCAAAGGGAAGTCCAGGAAGACCAGTGAAGACTAGTCCAGAAGCCAGTGAAGACTAATGAGAAGGGCTGAGCTCGCCTAACTCTGAAAGGTGATGAGTAATTACTGACTCTCCAAAGTAAAGTTGATGCAAGTAATCAATGCCCAGTACTTCTGAACATAGGAATGAAACAATATTTGAGAGAGACTGAGGAAGATGGGAAGAAAGTGAGGAAAAAAGATGATGCTTTACTGTGGAAAAAGCTCATTGTGAACAGTCCTCAGCACCCTTTATTCCAGCCAAAATATATGAGGTTTATTGGCTCTCTTCATTTGCAATACAAATTTAGCAACTCTTCCATTTAATTTTAATTGCATTACATGCTATTGATTTCACAGTCACAGAGGACACCTCTAAGAATTTCTTTTGTGCTACCATTAACCACTTCTAGAAATATTAAATAAGCAAACACTAACACTTAGTTCATTCAACCTGCAGACACAACTGAACTTTATCTTTACTTTCTCCCAGACTCATTCTTGGTACCTCATCCACCCAGAGCTTCATACTGCACCCCCAAATTTGTCTTCCCCTGCCTCCAAACAAATGACCTGTACTTACATCTCCATCTCATCAAAAATTTGAGACGTTCAAAACCTTCATGGAAGTCTGTCTGTTTTGGTTAACCAAACAGAAAACATTCCCAAAACATACAGACTAAAATTCACCTTAGTCCAAAAAGGAGCAGCTTAAGTTTATACAGCCCGGATGTCTCCCTTTAAGATCATTTGAATTATCTGTTCACTTCATCACCATCGCTGGTATGGATGACTTGTGGTTAACGAGGCACTTCTAGTATAAGGAGACTGCACGAATCAAGTGTTGCTAGAACATCCAAATGTTCTGGAAATCTGGAGTTTACAAATGACTACGCTCGCATCGAAGGAAAAGGAGGAATGGGGGTTTTTCTCCCTCCTTTTTCCTTTGCACTACAGGAAAAAGGCAAGTAACTTGGTTTAAGCAAAGATAGCACAGTTCTCTGGTTTCAGTAGATAAAGTGCTATACAGCAACAGCCAACAGCAACCCGAACGCTACACATACCTGGATGTATCGCAAGGCACTCCTTAGGACGCTGAGGTTTGAGGTCTTCTTGTCATCTACGTTGGGGATGTTGCGTTTTAATGTCTCAAAGCATTCTTTCAAATGTGCACGTCTAAAGAAAACACAGGTAGTTTGTCAGCTTGGAAGCACACACCAGAAATCAATTTAGCAGAGAGCTAGAGCTTAATTTGGGCCTTAATCCAGCAAAGCACTTACACATGTGCATAGCAGTCACCGAGACTACCTGCGTGCTTACAACTGAACCAGCTCAATCCAGCAAAAGGACTAAGGGGTTGTATGCCTGGATTCTAGTTCTAGCTTTGTTAGGAAACCATTGTGCAATCTTAAACGAAATATCTCATTTCCCCATGCTGTTGCTTCCACTTTCACCATATTTCCGATTTAGCTAGTTAGACTTACAAGAGTTTTGGATCAGGAACTGGTTTTAGTCTGTATTTGCACTGTAAGCTGACCCCTGATCTTGGCTATTGTATTACTTTAAATCAAAAGAGATGCTACATCGTTATGCACGTGGGGATTTACTTTGCGGGATCAGGGCTTTGCAGGGTTATTGTAATGCAATTACACAGTTAAGTAAAACATACTGGGAAGCAAGAGATGCAGAACTGAGCTATAAGAAAGCAAAGCAATACTGCAAGATTTCATGAAAAGTCACTAAGAATTTTGTTCAGGTTATTTGTTAAAAAACATACAAACAAACCAAAAAAATGCCAAAGCCAAACAAATATGGACAAACTATAGGCCAAAGAAAAAAAAAGGAAGGGGAATTACCATAAAAAAATCAAACCCCTGGCTTTCTACGCACCTGTTCTTCTCCAATTTATTATGTACTTCCCTGGTCCCAACCCTGTAACCCAAACAGAACAAAGATAAACTCAGTGTCAGGTTTAAAACTACTGCCATTCAACCTGTACCTTCAGCAGTGTGTATGTGTCTACGATACACAGGTAAATATTAAAAAGGAACAGAGGTGTTCAGATATCACTGTTTTAATATCAGTTGCATATATATTTCTACCTATACTGTATCAAGATAAACCCCATACTTTACATGCATATTAGATGGATAAGCATTACGGCATATACTGCACACAAGATACAAACAGGTATGATGTGTGTATATATACACAGAGACAGCTACTATCAACAACAGGGAAAGACACAAAGTAAGAATTGTATGTATTTGTACAGTACTAGAGAGCCCAGATTCTGACCCGTTTCTGATCTATGCCTACAATCCTGTGGGGTAAGATTTATGCAGTTTCAAATTAAAGTGTACAGAACTTGGCAGACATACTTCAACCGCTTTAGTTTTTTACTGTGCCTGAAATAACACAGCTGAGCATAAATATGGAATGAAGTAATCCAGGAATCCCTCAGTCACTGCTAAAGGAAGAAGCAGGGTGAGCTTCTGGTTTTTGGGGTTCTGGTCTGTCCCTACCCTCCGAATCAGAGAAATACTTTTAGGAAAAGCCAAACAAATTCATCTTATCTTTGTCTTTCAGCTACAGTGGTGATAAAGGACATTAGTAGACATATGGAGATTTCAAATATCTTCCATACACTATGCAAAGTAATTATTTGCCTTTCGCTGAAAACATACCAACATTGAGGTGAGCATTTCAGGAGGTATGTTAATATTTAATAAACATTCAAGTATTTGAAAACAAGTATTTGACAGCGTTTTGCCACAAAACACTTACAAGTTGAAAAAGACATTTTTTCTGTGCTTACGTCTAAGGGAGCAATTCTGGGGAGCACGCACCCTGGGGTAACCCATTAAAATGCATTTCAGGAAACCTCTGCAACTCGCTCAGCATCAGACAGGCATTTTTCTGGTGCAGCTATGCTAAGAGCTCTAGAAATCCTGCACGGTAAAATGCTCTGGTTACTGCACAGACACCGCGGTGATGCTGCCCTCTGCACCGGGATGACAGCCCTCCCTCCCACCTTCCCAGGAGCAAAGCTCGGCGTGACGGCACAAGAGCCGTTTGCTGGTGCAACCGCAGCCATCCCGCTGCCCGCTGCCAGGACAGCTGCTTCTCAGACAGCAGAACTCCCCTCAGCCTTCACCGGTACCCCCATGCCATCGGAAACCCCCCCTACACCCATCTGAACCCACACAACAATGTCAGTGACAGGTTCACTTGATTAAAGCGCAAATACACTTATCGTTTCTGCAGCTGAGCATTTCATAGACAAGCTCTAAAGATCACAATCTATCTTGCAGGAATGATATTGGCATTTTACAAAGGCCATTATCTTTACAAATTCTTATCTACATTACTTTTGCTGTTTCCTTCTATGCATTTTGGGATCTCCATCCCAGAGGGCACTATGAACCCTTTTTTTGTCCACTACATCTTACATCTCTTCCTGCTCCCTCAAGATGATACTGAAACTACCACTCCTTGCATGGAGGCCGCTCACAGGGAAGGTCAGTACCAATTCACGGCCCCACACTCGTGCTCCTCTCACAACTGGGTTACAGTGGTTCTGCATTGCAGCTCAAAGCAAACCAGAAGACCTGGGGAAAAGAAAGTGAACTGCCATGTCCTGACCTTCTGATACATTCAAAATGCTGAGCTCCACCCAGGAGGGAGCAAAAGGCAAGGCCAGATTGTGACCTGGCCAAAACATCTCCCGAGCAGGTCACTAGCCCAGAAAGGATCGCACCTTGTCTCTTCTGCTGGCCCTTGTTTGGGCTGGGTGGACTGGAGCGACTAGCAGGGCCCCCAGCTCTGCTGAGTCTATCTCGGCACGGCAGCCTGAGCCAAACTGGAGGGGGACGAGGCTGCTGCTGCTATGCTGCACAGCAAGGGGGGGGCTCCAGCTGCTGTTCTGCCTAGCAGCATCTCCTTGGAACTCCTGAGCAGACCCCCAGCCCTGCCCTGAAACCAGGGGTACAGTTGCTTTATTGCACTGAACAGGCAACACACACAGAGCGACTTTCTGGTCAGCCTCCGTGGCATTGCCGTACCATTTTAAATACCACTGCCAAGAGCTATCTACCAGTGGCAGGCAGTCGGGAGAATGCCCAGAGGTCTAGACAACACGGCCCAGGAGGAAAGACTGAACAGGTCCAGGTCATTTATCCTGCAGAAAGGAAGACTAAGGGGCCAAGGGAAACAGGTAAAAGCTTGCTGCAAAGAAGGGAACGATCTGTTCTCCCAGTCCACAAGAAATAATACCAGACTACATATTAGGATACTGTGGTCTGGAAACAACCGGCTAAGGAGAAAACAGTGTCTCCTTCAGCCAAAGTCCTTAAGAACAAGTTAGACAACACTAACCTGGAGCAACATCAGTCACAAGCCCTGTCCGAAGCCGAGGACAGATTACACAGCCTCCAGTTCCTTGCAGCTGCAGGAGTTTTGAACAAGCTGGAAGCCCTTAGCACTTAGAGTACTAAGAAACCGAAACAGCAGCCAAGGTGATCTCTGTCCTAGGAAATAAAACCTCCCAGATCACATCCCAGTTTTCAAGAAAGTTCCTGCAAGCAAGCATTGCTGCACCATTTCCCTGACCAGTATAAGCAGAGATCTTTTCCCAAACATAATACCAGATGCCACCTGGGGTCAGACAGGCAGTGCTGGGACTTGCTTCCTAATTCAGTTCTAGCTTGGAAAAAGAAATCCTTGTACAGAATTCTACAGTGCATAGTCAGGGAGGGAAAACAAAAAAACATCAAGCTAAGAAACTATGCTATCAAAAAAACAGACAGCCAAACACCCACGGATCTTGGTATTGCTGATCCGACAACTCTTTGCAAAAGCAGTAGCTGCTCCAGGTCAATGCAGCTTTTGGTATTGTTTTTTGTCTGATCCCTCTCAGAAGCCTCCACACACAAGGTGCACTCACCCTCCAGGTCTCTTCTTCTGCTCATTTGGTTTCGTGTCTTCTGCTGGAGCCAGCTTCAGAGCACCGAGCTGCGGGCCCGG